TTGGATGAGACTTGGACCCTAGCTCGAGCTAGCCATAAAGGGGCCTTTCATTTGCATCCTCCTATCTAGTCTGGTCAGTGTGCGAACGAAACTCACTTTCTGGGACATAACAAGAGAAAAGAGTCCACCATGGGAAGGTGGGGGGAGAGTCTCATTTCCCACAACCCTGCTTGAAGCCGTCCAGGCTCCCTGCAAAGCCTTAGGGGGCTCTGAGACCACCATGGGCTGGTGCCTGGGGGACGGGCCCTTGGCCTCACACTCCCCTGGTGGGAGGGCAGGGCCAGGGCTGGAGTCTTTGGACTTCCTGTCCCGGCTCTGATCTACTGTCAGGGGCGTGAATGAAGCCGGGTGGGTGTTCTAGAGTGGGGACAGTGCCGTGTGGGCTTTCTAGAGTGAGAACACTGCCAGGTAGATGTTATAGAATGAGGACAGTGCCGGGTAGGTGTTCTAGAGTGGGACAGTGCTGGGTGGGTGTTCTAGAGTGATGATGGTGCCAGGGCCGGTGTTCTGGGGCGTAGAAGGTTCCGGGTGTTCTGGGACGTGGATGATCCGGGCCGTGGGTGATGTGGGCAGGTGCCAAAGATGCCCTCAATGAGGCATCCAGGAGCAGTCCCGTGGCAGGAGGCACCAGCCGTGCTCTGGGGCATGGCGCAGTGCCAGACTGCTCACCACGCGTGGAGACTGGGTGAGAGGCTTCCGTGGTGGGGGCAGATACCTCTGCTGTCATCCGCTCAGGCGCATTCTGAAGGCGATGGAGATAGTCTGCATTTGGAAGGAGCCGCTGGCTATAGGACTGGAGCCATTTTTAATTACCACCAAATGTGGTATGAAGAGTGTCTGGCCGTCAGTCTTGCCAAGCGGGGGGAGAAAGGCTGAAGGCTCATGTTTATTGCTGTTGGGGGCTGCGGTGGGCCACACCCGGCAGTGCTCAGGGCTCACCCCTGGCCAGGCTCAGGGGACCGTATGTGGAGCTATGGTCAGAGCCTGGCCGTTGGCGTTCCAGGCCAATCCCCGCTGCTGCCCCCTCCCTCTGGCCCCGGGGGCTAGCTCTTTTAGAATTTGTCTTTAAAATGAAAACAATATTATCCACCCGAAAGGTCCTTTCTCAGATGAGCTGATTTAATTCTCAGTAGGAACTGCTCTGTGCTGAGTGCTCTGTGAAGGAACTCTCACACCACCTCATATCATTTCTACAAATGCCTCGTCTCAACGTTGCTTGCGAGTTTGGTCACGTGTGGTTTCACGTTGTTTAAGTGTTGGTTGCACCGAACCTGCGCACAGAGCCCGCGGGCGTGGCTGAGGAGTGCACACCTGCTCGGTGCAGCTCCGGCCCTGACTTCTCTGTTCTCAACTCCGCACGGCCAGAGGACCTGACCTGTGCCCATCTGGGCTTTAGCTGATATATAAAGGTTTTCTAAATGAGTTTTTATGAGAAGGGCTGGACTTCCTGTTGAGTTTGGCACGTGGGCCATGTAAGACCTGTCAGGATGTCAGGCCGAATGTGTGAGAAGCACTCGGTTCCCTAAGGAAGCAGAGGCACTTGTTCACCGGCTCAAAACCCAAGAAGGTACGGAAATATAAGCAGCGTGCTTGGGTCCAGCTGATAACTCACTAGCCAGACTGAGCTGAGTTCCGACTGTGGAATTGCCGTGTGTGAGCCTGTGTGTGTGCGCACGTGTGTGTGAGCCCATGTGTGCACATGTGTGCGTGTGTCTGTGTGTATATGTTTGTTTGGGGGACGTATTATGCATGTGAGAGCAGAGTCATTGTTATCCATGAAAGCAGCAGATGTACGAGTTACCTGACACCCCAGACCACAGGATCTTCCAAACCACAGTGAGCTGCTCTGTGGGGAGGTAACTTTTCCCGGGAGGCAGCTCCCGGGGCAGGAGCGCTTCGTCTCCGTGGATGTCTCTGTGACAACAGTCCCAGTTGAGGGGTCTCTGCGGGCGTGCACCCTGCAGCATGTGGCTGAAGCCAGAGGGGCCGTGTGGACCCAGAGCTGCGTCCTGCATCGGACAGCCCAGCCAGCTGTGCCCGTCGCAGCTGGAGGAGAAGGCGGCGTCCTCTGGGCAGCTGGTGAGGGAGACCCGGGGGGGGGGGGGTGCAGAGACCGGGGTGGGGGCTTAGTCTCTGCCTGAGGGACAAGCTCCCAAGCTCTGGGCTCGCTGGGGGTCGTGCGTGCATGGCCTAATGCGGCCTCTCCTCTCGGGCACAGAGCCAGAGGCACTTGGCTTGAGTGAGTGGACAGTTGCCCCAAGCCAGAGACCTGCTGCCGAGACCTTGCAGGGTCAGCCCACCACTCTGTGACCCAGCCTCAGGAGTCAGGGCGGTGCAGCCACCAGCTGTCCCCGTGCCTGATGTATCTCAGGTGACACCCAACTTCCACACACCCCTTCCCTTGGCCCGTGCACACACTCCTGCAGTCTGGCTGAACTTGGAAGGACCCAGGACGTGCCCCTTCTGGGAGAGAGCGCCAGCTGGGGAGACACCAGCCAGGGGCAGGAGGGGGGTTCCCGCTGGCCGCCCCACTCTTTCCAAGGGGAGATTATCTGAGAAAATCCCAAAGCAACCCATGCCCTTGTGTCCCCTGCAGGGCTGGGTCTTGTGGGCTGACTCTGGCCCCACCCTGGACACACACACACACACACACACACACACACACACGTCTGGACTGTCCAAGCACCGGGGTGCTGCCCACGTGGGTCCCCCGCAGACTCAGCTCTGGGGAAGCAGCTCTCTCTGCCCAGCTTCCCGGCCCCTCCCGGCACCTTTCGGACGCAGCCGGAGCGCTCGGCTCTTGCGGGTCATGCGCCGTGTCCACCCCCTCAGCGGGTTCTGTGCGCGTGTCCTCCCCCAGTCCTGCCTCCGGGCTCTGTGCCGCCCACGGTGACCAGCCGGCAGCCGAGCTGCTGGTTCCTCCTGCGACTGTCCCCACCCAGGGCAGGGTCAGGGCAGCCCCAGCCTGCGCCACCCTGCGCAGAGTGACGGACACTGCTCGGGGCTGCTGCGGGCACACACAGACCCCAGCGCTGGCCACACTCCACCTCAGAACCTGCCGCCACGGCCTGTCCCTGCTCAGCAAGTGCACCCGGGGGAGACTCGGCCCCGTCCTGCTGGGCGCACCCCAAGTGTTTGCAGCTACAGCATTTCAGCAGAACAGAGGGCTGGGCCCTCAGCTGCAGGAAGGGTCAGGGAGCCCGGGGTGGCCTCCATGACTGTCCCCAAGCCTCAGTGGGGTCCGAGGAGCACTGTGCTGGGAACAGACTGCAAGAGCCCTGCGTCAGCCCAAAGGGGCGCCAGTCGTAGGGAGATCTGCAAACCCCCAAGGGTCAGCTCAGAGAGAGACCCAGTAGCAGGCCAGGCCCGGACAGCTCCCCCCGTGCGTCAGGTGCTTCCGACGCCCCTAGCGTAGACCAAGGTTCCAGCTTCCCGGATAGACAGGTGCTGTCGGGCCCAGCTCCTGCCTGTTGCGAGAACCTCCCGCCTGCAGCCAGGTGCCTCCCTGGAGGAGGTGTGGGGTCGGGGCCCTCCCCTTTCAGCCTCACGAGCCTCGGCGCAGCCTCGGGAGCGAAACCCCCGTCAGGTAATTGGCTCCTTGTCGGAGCATTGTAATGGCTTTGAGAAACCGCTCAACATTGTAGATCAATCCCCAGGTCCACGATGACATTTCCCTGGTGTAATTAATTATTAATACCCTGATCATTTGCTTAAGACATTAATAGTTCTCATCGATCAGCCCGTCCTGCGGCTCTGCCACGGCCCGACGCCACGCGGGGCGGGAGGGAGACTGTCTGCCGGCCGCCCGGGCGTGGCCTGGGGAGGGAGGCCGGGTGGTTGGGCAGGCCGGGGCCCCTGGGAGGAGGCTTCCTCAGGCCCAGGCTCCGGGTGCGGCCAGCGGAGGGCTCCCCGCAGGAGCTGCCACAGGGTCCTGCCCCCGAGCCGTTCCCTGCAGGCAGGCCAGGGCTGCCGGTCTGTGTCCTGGCTGGTCCCTGCCTGGAGTGTCAGGGCAGCTGCTGTGGCAGTCGGAGCCCCCGGTGCAGGCCCAGAGCCAGGCCCCCCATCTGCAGAGTCCCAGCCCCTGCAGCGCCCTCCGGGGGGCTTGGTGCGTTGCTGTTCCGAGAGGCCCGTCACTGATCCGGGTGTCCCCGCACCCCCGGCAGCATGGGGGTTTCTGGGGGAACAAGCGGGGAGGCAGATCTTGGCTGTGCCGGTCCCGACCGCCCTGCAGCTCACCTCCCAGCCTGGCGCCCCCCGCCTTCCCCAGCACCCAGCACCGGCATGCCTCTGCTCTTTCTCCTGTTTTGAGACCCCTGCGATGCTCACGCTCAGGGATCAGCCCTGGTGGGCCTGGGGGACCCTGCGGGATGCTGGGATGGGAACCGGGTCAGGCAGGTGCGGGGCGACACTGGCTTTTTCTGAGATGGGTCCCTGCGCCGAGTGGGGATGCTCCCTTCCCCGGCAGGTCCTCAGAGCCAGAGGTCCGTCGGCCGCCGGGATGCAGGTGTCCCTGGGCTGAAACCCGCGAGGGCTGGCGAGTGTCCTTGCGGGCTCAGCTTTTGCCGGGAAGTAGGGCTATGGCCTTGTCCCGCCCCCCACACCTGCCCAGCCGCGTGTCCTGTCCAGGCCTGGCCAGGTACTTGGGCTCGACCCTGGGCATGGGGGAGCACGGGGAGCCCAGGAGAGCTGCCGCCCTCAGACAGGCCCCTCCTCGGCCCAGCCACCCTCCACCCTCTAAGCTGCCCTGCCCTCTGGCTCTGGTCAGCCCACTGCCAGGGCAGCCTGTGAAACGGAGCCATGTCCTCGTCCCCTCTTGCGGCTCTGGCTCCTGGCTCGAGGGCTCCACCCAGCCCTGCCCGTGTGACCCTCTCTGCACTCGGAGACCCACGCACCCTGACTGGCTTCTCTTCTCTCCCCAGATCGCCGGCTGAACCCAGCCTGACCGACAGCTGCTGCTCCAACCCACACCTCGTCGGACCGCGAACGCCTCTGAGCCGGGACCCAAGATGCGGCTGCCGTGGGGGCTGCTGGTCCTGCAGCCCTTCCTGATGTGCCTCGCAGGTAGGGAGACCTTCTGGAACTTTCCCTCCCAGCAAAGCCAGCATTTCACAAGCATCCTGGCGTGGGACTTGCCTTGGAGAAGGCTGGAGGCTGTGACTGTGGGCACAAGGCCATGGGCTGGACCTCGAGGCTGTGACTGTGGGCACAAGGCCATGGGCTGGACCTCGAGGCCGTGACTGTGGGCGTGAGGCCATGGTGGGCCTCGAGTCTATGGCTGTGGGTGCGAGGCCGTGGCTTCCGGGGCTGGCAGCTGTGGCCTGTTTCTCGTGGCCTCCACACGGCGCTTTCGTGGGTTGTATCCAGAGTGGGCTCAGGGCTTCTTCTGCCTCCCTGGTCCTTTGAGACACGGCTTAGCTGTTGTTTTGTTTGAATCGTGTTACTTTTGTTCCTCTCTGCTCAGCGCATAGACAGAGACATAAAGACCAGTAACATGGGCTGAGAGAGCAGCATCTCTCTGGAGGCCTCTGGGGGCCCCCGGGAAATTCCGGGGGGGGGGGGTGCAGGTGGAAATCTCAGCTGGGGGCCCATCACAGGAGATAAAGGGGTTGGCCTGTGTGAGGGGTTCGGGCAGGAAGGAAATCGGGCCCAAGGGATCCTGGCAAGGCTGAGATGTGCTGGCGTGGACAGTGCCCACCTGGACATAAGCACTGGGTGGCTGGAACCGCATCTGTGCTGCCTGCTCGAAGCTCACTGGGTGATCAGGACACGACTTGGTCAGCTCTGGCTCCTGGGGCGCAGACCCAGTGCTCAGCTGCCTGGCTCTGGGGAGGCAGTGCGGGGCGCGGTGTCCAGGGGAGGCCACTGCCCTTACCACCCAGCGCCCACCCACGTGGCCCACTTGCTAGCCAGTGCCCACCCCAGGGCTCACCTTGATGGCTTTTCGTGTCCACCATGTAGGATGGAAGGGGCCCTTTCAGCAGCACTGCTGTCACAGCAAAGGCCCTGTGTGGCTGATTCCTGGGAAGAATCATGGTAGATGGAGCCACTTGATGCTGAGTCTAGTGCCGTGGGCACCGGGGGCTGGTCGGGATGTGATTCCCTGGGGCTTGGCGCCTTGTGGCTGTGGCATATGGTAGGGCCTTCCTCCCTCCCTCCCTCCCTCCCTCCCTCCCTCCCTCCCTCCCTCCCTTCCTCCTTCCTTCCCTCTCTCCCTCCATCCCTTCTTTCCTTCCTTCCTTTCTTCCCTCCCTCCCTCCCTTTCTCCTTTCCTCCCTCCATCCCTTACTCTCTTTCTCCTTCCGTCCCTCCTTCTCTCCCTCCTTCTCTCCCTCCTTCCGGTCCTCCCACCCGCCACCGCCACATGCCAAGTCTTTATCATCCGTGGCCTTTTACTGGGAGACGTTAAGACGTGGTCTGACTCATATCTCTGTTCTTATTACCACCAAAGCTTCAAAGAGTAAAGAAGGGTCTGGAGCGACCGAAGGGCAGGGAGGGCACTGGCCTTGCATGTGGCCTTCCACACACCTGAGCGCACCTGGAGTGATCCCTGAGCACAGAGCCATAAGTCCACCCCAAGCACAGCAAGGTGTAGCCAGTGAAACTTCTGTAGAAGGAAAGAAAGGCTGGGAGGGAGTACCGTGTTTAGAACAAAGGACCGACAGCTTCCCGGCCCAGGCTCGAACCCCAGCACCCCCAGGGCCAGTTCTTGGAGCATTCAGCCCCACCGGGGAGCCCAGACAGCCCGGCACTGCCTCTCTGGCCCCTGCAGCGAGACAGCGAGGCCCCGTTGGCTGAGAGCCACCCGCGGGATCCCCCGAGCTCTGGAGACCCCTCGGGTCCCCCCGCCCTCGCAGAGAAGATACTCAAGGCCACCAGGTGCCAGTGAGATGCAGGCTGGGGCCGGGACGCAGCGTCCCATCATAGTTCTGCATACCACAGCTCATGGTCCTGCCGTGGGCCTTGACATGTGTCGCGGTTGCCACTTTTCCAAACGCACGTCTGCATTCCGTGCGAACCTCTCAGCGAGAACCCCGCCTGCTGCTTCTGTGTGACGATGTGGAGGGACCCGGGGCCGGAGGCCGGGAACCGTCCCCGTCCCTCACTTGTGTTCTGGGTGACTGAGAATTCCTGCCTCGTCGCGTTCTGGTACCCACTGCGGGTCTTCTCCGGAATATCGATTGCGTTCCGTGTCGCTTCGTGTGTGTGACCCGTCTCGTGTGGCATTAATATTCTCTTACCATATGCCCCTTTCGGTGTAGGTAAAGTCAAGCTTTAATTAATGTTTTTGTTTTCTTGCAATTTGTCTTGATTTCATTAATTTACATCGCCCGCCTGCTCTGAATTCCGAGCAGATTTCTTCATGGTGTCTCCCCTTCTCTGGCCTCCGAGCAGAGTGCTGGCAGCCTGTGCTGAGGGAGGTGCTTGTGTGTCTGTGCAGAGTACTCAGGAGCCATGCTGAGGGAGGTGCTTGTGTGTCCGTGCAGTGCTGGGAGCCTGTGCTGAGGTACTTGTGTGTCCGTGCAGAGTGCTTGGGAGCTGTGCTGAGGGAGGTGCTTGTGTTTCGATGATGACCAAGGTGTATGATCCTCAAAGGCGCCTTTTCCTGATCTCTCCCTCCATCAAGTACAAACTCAAATGCCTGGGCAGCTTCTCCCAGGGAACCGCCAGGAGCACCCCCGAGGGTGTAAGCACGAGGAGCTGCCAGCAGTCCCGACTGTCCTCTCCAGGGAAGGCCGTGGTGCCCCGGCTGGACACCGAGCTTCCACGGAGCCGTTTTCTCTTCGTGCTCTTAATCAGGTTAAACCTGGGTCCAAACCCATCGGTCGGATATGAAAACATAGTAAGAGACTAAACCCCAGGACGTTCTCTGAGGTTTGTGTCTCCTCGGGCCACTCGGAGGGGCCGGGTGGGGACGCTGGTCCTGGACCCTGCAGAGCCGCAGGTGGCCAGCTCTAGCCAGCTTCTCGCCATGGTGGGCAAAGTGAATGCTGTGGGAAGCCGCCCCCAGTCCCGGGGTCCTGAGTCTGCTGAAATGGGAGGGAAATGTGAGGGGGACAAAGTGTCCGGCTCATTCATTCTTCACCCGCTGGGTTCCAGGAGGCCACGTCCATCCCCGTCTCTCTGGCCCACGCCACGACCCCGCTTGGCAAAGTGCATCTTGTCCCAGTGCAAACACATTCATTTGCTCCCCTTCTCTGGTGGTGGACATTGTTCTGCGTCATTCCTGAGAGGTGTGTTCTGGCCCAGGGGAATACCACCCGCGGGGAAGCGAAGAGGGGCGACAGGGTGAGTGGGGGGTCCTGCAGAGCTGCGGCCTCTCGGGGTCAGCTCCGGGCTGGCTGGCTCTGGGCGACCACAGATCAAACCTCCAGCTCTGACGGAGGTCAGCGCAGCCCTGGGGATCCCCACCTTCCCGCCTAATCACAGTGCCCCCTCAAAGGTCAGGCCCCACCTGGAAGCATCTCTGTCACCCAGGGCCCAGCTCAGGAGAGATCACTCTGCGTTAGTTCCAGAGTGGAGCTGGAAATGTGACTATCCCAGGACAGCTGGGCAGCCTCGGCTGGACCCTGGGTCTCCCTAGCCCGGCTTCTGTTCTTCCAAGAGTAGACTGTAGCACTGTCACACTGTCCTCCCATTGTTCATCGATGTGCTCGAGCAGGCACCAGTAACGTCTCCATTGTGAGACTTGTTACTGTTTTTGGCATATCGAATACACTATGGTAGCTTGCCAGGCTCTGGCATGCAGGCGGGATACTCTCGGTAGCTTGCCAGGCTCTCCAAGAGGGACGGAGGAATCGAACCCGGCTCGGCCATGTGCAGGGTAAACGCCCTACCCACTGTGCTGTCGCTCCAGCCCTTTGCAACAGTTGAAAATTTAGATCCACAGAGATTCGAAGACACTCGAAGACACTCGTGTTTTCTTTGCGTGCCTCTAGGGCATCAGCTGGCACTGACCTCTATGGTCATCCGACTTCCTACTAAACTGGCCAACCCACCATTGCGGTCCCACCGACAGAAGCTACTGGAAGGACCCTTCCCTTCTTCTGTGCCTTCGCTCCCAACCGTGCCCTGCCGTGCAGCCAGAGGGCTGGAAACACTTAACAGATTAGAGCTAACAACTGGCTTGAAAGCATGACTCCAGTCGATAGAAATAGAAGTTGAGAAAAATGGGTGGGGTGGGGGGCAACATGCCCCGAAAATAATCAACAGCCACTCGAAGGCTTTGGAATAGCTGCTGAGTGTTGAAATACCCTTCACGGCGGGGAGGTTCTGCGCCATCCTGAGGGTGCTGGGCTAAGTGACACTCACAGGGATGAAGGGGCCTGGGGCGAGGCACCCAGTGGCCTCGGGGCAGCAGACGCTTAGATACAGACTCTCGTGGACCCGAGTCATCGTGCGGTCAAAGCCACACTCAGCTGAGCTGGGGGCTGAGCTGTAAGGAAAGTCCCTTACTCGTAGCGCAGAGGGCCTGTTCTGTGACTTTTTTAAAATGATCGAACCCTGCTGCAGAAACAAATTAGGGAGAGGGCAGGGTCAGCCAAGTGGAAACCACAGCCGTCCACTCCGTGTTCGCCAGCAGCTGCCGGGGGCGCTGCGGAGCTGTGGGGGGGCGGGGGGGTGGTCACTGAGTTGCTCAAGGGGGCGGGTGGCGGGTGGGCCGGGTACGTCTCCTGCCGTCTGGTCCCAAATGGCCTCACGGGTCCACCGTGTGACTTGGATCGTTGCTTTGTTGGAGACAGGCTCTGCCCCTTACTGGCTGGACAGTCAGGCTGACCTCCTCATTCTGGGGCTGCTTCGAACCTTTCTCCGTCTGTAAAATGGACAAAATTAGGGTCTTTACGTCATGCGGTGTGTCGAGGACCGCCATCATGTACTTGCTCTTTGCACTTAGCGCAGTGTGACACCTAGCAAGCCCCCGTCAGCGTTAGCGCTCTTCGCAGGAACAGTAAGCCGCTCCCAAGCCGTGAGACAACCCCGCGTCTCTAAACTTGCAGCTGGTTCCTACGCGAATCGAAGCATTCGCTGTCCTCAGGGTGACGGGGATGGCGCTGATGAGGATG